ATTACTTTAAGTGAATTTAAAATACAACTTGACATTCTAGCCCCTGGACTGGCAAAGCCTTCCGTACCAGCAGTGCCATTTACTCCGAGAGTTATTACCACATTGGGAGAACTATAGCCAAGCGGTGCAGCCTGGGAGGGCCAGTTTCAAAAGAGCCATTCCTCAAATGCCATTTGCATTCATTTGAGCCAAAGGAAAATCACTGGGTCAAGAAATAAAGACCTTTCCTCCTCTCTCAGTGCTCTATGTGGTCACTTAGGGATCCAGGCTCCATCTGTCCTGAGGGCACTGTGTTGTCTGCAGTCAAGGCTGGGTTGCTACTACCTTTGGGAGGAGATAAGGAGAGTCATCTACTGCTGTGAGGGCCTTGGCCCAGAAATGGCAGGTATTTCCACTGATGTGGTAGAAGAGAACTCTGTCTTAATCACATCTAACTACAGGTGGGGACACGGGAAGTGTAGTCCTAGTTAAGCAGCCATGTTACTCAATTTTCCTTCTACTTCCTCAGGAAGATAGATGATTCTAACTACCTTAGTTACTAGTTGTTCTTTTTCTTTCACGGAATTGGAAAACATCAGTGCTCTCCAGAGAGCTGGCACAAAGATGATAAATGTGAATAGCCCACAAACTTTGGTCTGAGAAGCAGAGGGCGGCCATCACTCACAAAAGCTCCAGGCCAAGCCCTGCGCAGTGTGCCTGCTGTGAAGCCACCTGGGTGGCTGGCGTAATACAACACAGACTGCTGTCCACTATCAGCACTTCAGGGAAGACTAGGTGTGTGTGTGTGTGGTGATCATTTCTTTTTACAAGAATAAATACCAAACTAGTCCCAAGAATTTGGAAGTCGAAAAAGTCCCTAAATTCAACTCTTACAAGAGGCTAGTTCCCCCGCCCACCTTTGAGTATATTCCCTCATGTTTCTGGGATCTTCCAATTGCTGCAGTGCCCCCACAGAACTCACCAAAGTTCGAGGAAATGTCTCCGGCAGTGGCAGATGCAGTTCAGTCCCAAGTGCAAAAGTCAGGCCCGGGTAAGCTAGATGCTGGGGCCAGATGATGCAACCCACTCCCGGCTCCTGCCGGTGCTGAGATCGCTCCTGCTTCTCGGCTGGCTCATTTTACACACAGGAGGATGTCATCGTAAGGAATCATGTTCAGTTATTCACAGGCAAAACCTATCCCTATCTTCCCCCACCTCTTAGCAGATCCATTCAGTGAAAGGTGGTTTGGTGGGTGTTACAATCAAATTTCTCCCACATGTAATAAATAACCCACTCCTCAGTCCTGGACCGGATCTAATGGATGCACCTATGACCTGGGGCCTCCGGCAAATGTTTCCAGTAGGTATTGGCCCCTGACTAATCTTAATCAGGCTGGGTCCCCACCCCCCGGCCAGGCCACTCCAAAGTTTGCTTTCTCCTCTCAGCTGTAGGATATAATTCCTTATACCCACTGTAAGCAATAGTCGCTAACATACTATTAAACAAGGAATGTGGTCCAGTTCACACCCTCTATGAAGGTCAGAGCTCAAGCTCGTCTGATTTGTGGTTGTTAGAAGAGAATGCCCTCCAAAGGGGAGCCCAGCCACAGGAGTATGGAATCCAGTACAGTGAACCCTCGCCACTTCGCACTTCGACTTCCGCAGCTTCACTCTATCACGGTTTTTGCGTAACAGCGCATGCTCTGTCATTACTGCCACTGATTGGCTCATACTGTACACGCTTCTGCCTGCATCACTACGTATCGGAGCTACGTATCAGATGCATTTTTGCTTTTGTACAGTGTACTGTAATTGTTGTGCGATTTTTAAGAAATTTTATCTAAGCCCTATGATGGCTCCTAAACGAGCTGCTTCTTCTAAGCCTTCTGACAATAAAAATAAGTGCCAGAGGAAGATGCTCACCATCCAGGAAAAGGTAAAACTTTTGGATATGATCAAAGATGGCAAGAAAATCGTGGAGGTTGCACGCCATTTTGACTTGAATGAGTCTTCCGTTCGCTCCATCCGTTGTACTTCATAATATAATAAATAATAAATGATAATTGTAACGTCCGAAATGTTTTACTGCATTTTCCCTTTTTTGTTTAATAAATTGGGTAATACGAGTGTAATGGTGACTAAAGGGTGTTTTTTCATGTCCTCTATGCTCTAACTACGAAAATATTTGATTTACAAATAAGGAATCCTACTTCGCGGAATTTCATTTATCACGGTAGGGTCTAGAACCGATTAACCACGATAAACGAGGGTTCACTGTATTTTGTATGTATATATAAAAATAAATCACCTAAGGGCCTGCGGCTGAAAGAGCCACACTAATTGAGTATAATGCATTAGGCCATCACGTCCAAAGTGGTAGCAAAGGAACCGCCAGAACTTTCCATGGTGTTTAGGATCCCTTGCAGGAAATTCTGCAGGACAGCGGACACCAGTGCGCACTGAGCAGTACTGTAGCAGTCTTTAATGGGATCCGCACTCCCCACGCCCGCTTTCAAAGTGCCAAAGCTCCAAATTCACTGCCATCGAGTCAATAATGGCTGGCTCAAACTGAGCCCCACCTGAGTTTCCGAGACTGTGACTGTTTACAGGAGTAGAAAGCCCGGTCTTTCCAGGAGCTGCAGGTGGTTTTGCACTGCCAACCACGCGACTGAAGGCCAAGGCTTAACCACACCACCACCGGAGCTTTGAGAGATTCAGGACAGGTGAAAGGGCTCAGGATTGGGGAAGTGGCTGAGCTATGATGAGAAATCAGTATTTTTCACAATTCTCCATAGCTAATGTTTCCACATAGCATTTTTTCCCCAAATCATTGTATTAGGAGCTAATCCAGGCATCATACCATTCCATAGTTCAACATCAAGCAGTGTTGTACAATTGCTTACCCAATCAGCTTCAAAACATTCTTTTCCTTCTTCAACTCCTTGATATCCACTCCTCCCTGCCCACAACACCTGCCCCAGCCCCGTCATATCCCCCAGGAACCCTATTCTAGTTGTTGTCTCGCTAGATTCCCCTGGGTTTCATCGACCAAAATACAGGAAAAAATGGATAACAGAGTCAAGGCTACCAGCATACGAAAAATTAATTATATATAATGTAAAATAATGATATATAATTATGTCTATCAGAAGGGAGATTAGGTGACAAGATTTTAACCGCCCCAGATGTATCATTTTAATCTGCTATAGGCATCTCTCCAACACTCTCTGATACCCAGGTTATTCCCATCCCTCAACTATGGTTAGGGGCAATCACCAGAGACTTATTCCTTGTGTAGATCCTGTAAATGTTATTTTGGGCACCCACTGTCATCTATGGCCTTCTGCACACCAGAATCTCAGTCTCGGATACAATTCCTGCCTTTGGATTTGGATCATATAATTTAGAATCCTTGGATCATGGGTGTTGGTGTGACATCTCACTTGATGGCTGCCCAGCTGGAAACAAGCCTTGAAGCCTGCAGATGGCAGTCTGCGATGGCTGGGGTTTACCTGCGGGACAGCTGGCTGCCTCCGGCTGGCGCTGCAGCCACCATCGAATCCAGCCTCTGGGGTCTGAGGTATTTAATCAAAGGAAGAAATAGCTCTTCACCTATGATGGAATCTGTTGTTTGGGAATGTGGTGAATCAAATTGCTAATGTTGGGGCAAAGTGCCCTCTGTAATAAAATGGAAAGACAAGATGATGCCATTTTCCCCACTGTGAGACCAAAAACAAACGCTGCCTTTTGTGAAGGTGCAAAGAATACTGAACTGAAGAACAACAGTGCGATACCTGAGAATGGTGTACAAACATCTAAAAACACTGAAGAGACAGCATCTTCACTGGAAGCTCATTCAGATTCTGAAAGGATGGCTTTAAGATAGATTGTCTTTTATCCTTAGCCCTTGACTATGTTCCTGGGGCACACAGGTATAGCCTATGACCTTGCGAATGTGCCCAGATTTGCCTTGTCTAATCTGCTGAGTCATTATGATGAACAGACAGCAGCTTTAGCAATGGAGCCTTTCCCCACTATGGTGAGTCTGGATTGTTCTCAGGATTTCTAGCCATTTATTTGTGCACTCTAAGCTCCTACTACATGTATGGAATATGGGGACGTGTCCCTGCAGTAGGTCTATACCAAGTGTTCAAAGCTGATGAAAGTGTCTGGTGTTCCTTGGCCTGAAGTTATGTGATATAGTAGTAGGTTTCGATTGTGATGAGCCATAACCTCAACTTGTGGATCTGAATTCAGCTGGAGATCCTACAGGAGCCCCAAAGGCAGTACATGGGCACTATGTATGGCTTTTGGTGTGCCCAAGAACTGAACATTGATCCTGACGTTGGCTATTGTTTGGCATGTGCGTGATTTGCCTCCTTGTCCAAACAGGTACTTTAGGAGAGAAGAGCTTTCATTGACTCAGTATTTCATAGGACTGATTTCAATCATTTGCCTCTCTGCCACATTGCTTACTTCTTTAAAAACTTTTCTGATTGTTGTTCAAGATTCCACATTATATTATATGCTGTCTACCACATGATGGTACCCTTGATTTTCTTCATTGGGTTTTTGCTTGAGGACTGAGTAGCCTGCAACACATCTAGTCCTGCACAGTATAAGGCTTCCACAGTAACACAAGGATCTCATAATAAAGCCTGTACCATGCTATTCTGATAGCTGGACATCATCTAATTTCTTCACCACACTTTGCTATAGCACCTATATCTTGTCTTTCCTTCATGAGGGTATCGCGAGCCATGCATTCTTAAAAACCGTTAAAAATCCTACACTTTCCAGCATTGGCTTGATGGCAATGAGTTTGGTTTGGTGTGTCAAATACGATCTTACCTTGCTCAAATGCTCTCTCAGAGATGAAGGCTAACTAAGTCTCAATCTTCTTCCTGTCCTGCTTGCTGAATGGGTGAACTGAGTAGAAAGAGGTAATCTGCAGTAGAGCTAAAGAGAGTGACATTCTAGCAAAACGTGAAGCACAATGAAATCAGAAAACAACAATCTCATTATTTAAATCCCGATGTTTTATTTTATACTTTTAAATTCACAAAATGTTTCACAATATCGGCTTCCCTCTGTTGATCATCAAGGCTTTATGGAAAAACAAGGCAAAATTTACCACATCAATTGGGGATACTCTGACAAACAAGGGATCATGTACAGCTACATTTTTTAATCAAAAACAAGTTACAAAACATGCTGTCTGCTATGCACCTGAAGCTGTCTATCCTAAAATTAGACTTTAAAAAAACTAACAAAAATAACAGATTTAACACTTGCAAGCCTACCAAAATAATGCTAAAGGCAAGCTCTACACAGCTTTCCATACTGAATGTAACTTGAGGTGGGGAGAGGACAGTAAGCTATTATTGGTTGACCCTACTCTTTAAATGCATGTGTTAATAAATCAAGTCTGTAATGAATTTCATCAAAGTGAACATTTCTGTGCTCTTAGGGTAGTTTCTCAAAGTTGTTTTTAAATGTGGGGCATCTTGACTAAGGGGACCTAATCCTGGAATTAGAATTAGAATATTTGAAAAGTAGAAAAATACCAGGAGTGGGGCAGGGGTGGTAGGGGAGAGGGGAATCAGCTTCTTTTTTTCTTTTAAGTGGGTTAACCAATCCCTGCTGCTCTCAGTGAAAAGTATCAGTTATGGGGGATTGAATATTGGCTTCTGCTTTATAAAAGTTAAATCCAGCATTTAAATGGCAAAAATAAAAATTCAAGTTGATCTAATTTAAGAAAATATGTAAACTAATTGATATCCTTTGGTTTTTATATTTGTGAAGTGACATACTACATATTTTGAGGTATCCATTAGAGGATCTGTCAAAAAATTATTTCTACTTTTAATGTGCATCTTTCCTTACTCCAGGGTAGTTCATTAGATATTCTCAATAGAGGTCACCAAATATAGTGCCAGAAATGAAGTGTAAAGAGAGGGGAAATGGAAAGAGGATGGGAGGGTAATGAAACTGGATAGTCACAACAAACATGATCTTTAAAGTTTCCTCACTAACTCATGCCACAAAAGTATATATTTTGGCTAAGGGCCACTAGATTGCTGGAAGTGATCAGGAAATGAGCAGAATATTTTAACCACTCGTTAAGATTCTTAACTAACTCGTGATTTGGACAGTGCACTCATGAAGCACTGTTTATGGAGACTGCTGATGGGGCATAAACGGCTGGGTTTATTAACCCCTCTGCACAGTTCTTTTTGAGAGCATTTGCAAAAGGCCACTGTACAAAAAGCAGTGGAAAGGGGGATTTACAGGACTACAAATAGAGATTAACAGAGAATCTGTAAATGGATCACTCTTGGATGGACATATTACCAATTCTCTTATTTCTTGAGATGAGGAGTATGGACATATGGGGAAAATAAAAGTATACGCTCCAAAATTCAGAATATGCCTCACCTCATCTTTCATTCCCAATGGCCTTTCCTTTTCTGTTGCCCCTAGTCTTTTACATATTGTATATGTATGACACACCAGTGAGGGTAGTCAGGATTATTGTAAAAGAGGACATACAGTGAGTAATTCAGTGGAGAGCAGCAGCAACCAAAAGGTTTTATCCTAAAGTGCCTTTGAAAGAGTTTCTAATTTAATGACAGAATGAGAATTATTCTAAAAGCAAGTATCATCTAAGTTAGCAAATTCTCCATTTATTCGGACAGTATACATCAATAGATTTAAAAGTTACAAAGCCCAAAATAAGCCAAGTAACGAGTCATTTAAACCACAACTCAGAATTGTAACATGTTCCCATGGTACTGTTCACTATGAAATGCATAAAAGACTACTGGTGTGGGCTGATCTCCAACTTGTAAATTCCACACCTGGAACCAAACAACTGGACGCTGTGGAAGACTGTAGACATGAGTAAGTATAGAAAGCTGTTCTCTAGAACAGCTTGTTCCTAAGCTTGAAAAATCGACACATCATTTTAGGGGGAAACAAAGGGCAGGAATAGTTCAGATTAGGAGTCTCTACATGTACATTTTAAAAATCTAATGAAAATACCTTAAACTATTTTAGAAGTTTATTTGACATTGGAAATTTGGTCAACTCTCATAAAGTATCTCTCTTCATCCCCCAAAATTCCATATATTAAAGATTTACACAATCCAAGGGGGTAAAATATAGAAACCTCCTTTAGTTTGAGCAAAAAAAATCTTCTTAAAAGGCTCTCAAAAACCTTGGCTCGAAGTATCATACTCAGAAATGAAATGCTTGAGTTCTTCAACACACCGCTCACCAATTTCATGTAAATTCTGCCTCAAGGCAAACTGTATGGACTTTTCTAATGAAGGATCTTTTTCAATCAGCATTTTCACAACCATCCCGAACGTTTCACAGTCTTGTCGGTAAACCTAAAAGTGAAATATATTCTGGTTAGCCGAGAGAGAAAATAAGAAACACTCTGTTGACTTATGGTGCTGAAGTTTAAAAAAGAGACGCAATAATACAGTCAGCTTCTCTTGTCCATCAGAGGTTACTATTGATAGAGGCCACGTAAATCCCTAGATTAAGGTTTGCTAGCAGCCCAAAAGACTAGCACAACATTCACAGACCATATGACCAAATGTAAAAGGTGTGGCAGGCCTTTTGTCAGGATCCGTAGAAGGACACCAGAATGGAGGTGACCAGCACTGAGAACAAAGGCTGAGGAAGGCTCCGTTCATTTATTTGTTTGAAACAAAAATATATCTGAGCCCCAAACTTCAAATTCTGTTCAAATTTTGATCAAACAAAATGACATTCAATGTATCCTTTAGCACATGGCAAACAATTATGGGAATATGAAAGTATCTATTGGAGTGTGGGGGGGGGGGTTTTACAGAGGAGAAAGGATAAATATTTAATCATAGTTTAAGCCACCAAAGGAGTTCTTAATGGCATGGCATAGTGGTTATAGCATTCAGATTCTAACCCAAAAGTTGGAGGTTCAAAGCCACCAGCAGGTCCTTAGGGCAAGCTGCAAGCTGCTTCCATAACAATTACAACCTTGGAAAACCCAATGAAGCAACTGCACTCTGTCACATATGATACTCTAAGTTGAAATCAACTTGATAACAACAGATTTGGATCTGTCCTCGATTCCCTGTGATTCGAGTTCCTATCTATACCAGTGTACATCCTCTGGTCTAGCCGGATTTGTAAGGACAACATTCCACATCAAATTCGTGAATCTCAGGGAACTTCCCGGAATAATGCGACAGAGTAACACATAGAATTCAGCCCAGGAAAGTTGCTTACAGGGAAATTCAACACTGCTGGAATGCAGGAGGAGCATAATAAAGATAAGCAGGCACAGACCCACAAGGTTTTGAGGGGCTGGTGGCTTTTGGCTTACCACTGTGGAGGCCGGCTAGGCTTGACCTTAGCCCCACCACTGTCTCTGCTGGAACCAGGATCATTTGGAGCACATCAGGGGGATTAATCTGAACACAATCACAGTTTGCCTCTGCCGGCCTCAGGGCAGGGACTAAACCCTTGCAGTTCCACAGGCAGGGATCGGGGTTCAGCTACATTGTTACTCTTGCTTCTCTCTCTTCTCTCCATCCCCCTACAGACTTGGAGGGCTGCTCAGGAGCTTTTCTCAACACAGCAATAGCTGGCCGCTGCCATCTCAGGGCAAGGAGGAAACTCTTGTGAACTCTATGGGCAGGTATCAGGGCTGAGCTACGTTGTTACTTTTGTTTCCCTCTCTTCTCTGTATTCACCCCCAAACACAGTTTCAGCGGGCTTAGTTTTTTATTTTTTCTCTCCTCTGTCTCTTTCCTGTTCTCTCACACTCCACTGCTGACCTCCAGACCACTCCCCTTAGCTTAGGGCATTTACGCCTGCGCTAAACCCAGCTAGGTGAGTTGCACCCTGTGCAGCTAGCCTGAGGCTGGGGAAAGCCCTGCCAACCTCCACAAGGGGATACTCTACCCAACTTCTTGGGAACCCCTACCTGTGTGTCTGGGGGCCTAAGGAAGCTCTACCAACACTCGTGAACGTTCCATGCTGCTGCAGGAAACCTCTGCCCAACCTCTGCAACATCAAAGTAGGCAACCCACCAGCCTCTGGGGCACTCCCGAGAGGGAAGCCACAGGAGGATAAAGTGGGAGGTTAATGCCATAGTGAAATTAGCTGTAGGTAGTTCGAAGCAGCATTCCTACAAGTCTCCCAGAGAGAGCCAGTGCTCTTTGACTTCCTAGAAAATGGCACCTGGCTCCTCTAAAACAATACAACACAAACAGCCATCAGCCGCAACGACCTGACATCAAAAGGAAAAGGAAGAGGTGAAACTATCATTATTTGCAGATGACATGATTTTACATATGGAAAATCCCATAACCTCCACAAGTGGAATACTGGAAGCAATAAAGGAGTTTGGCAGAATGGCAGGATACAATATCAAAAAACAGAAATCCATTGGACTGTTTTACACATCACATAAGACCACAGACGAGGAGATCAAAAAGGTGGTACCCTTCATAATAGCCAAACACAAATTGAAATATCTAGGGATATACCTGACTAAAAGAACAAAAGATCTACATGGGGGAAAACTACAAAACACTATTACAAGAAACCAAAAGCGACCTCAACAAATAGAAGAATATCCCATGCTCGTGGACTGGAAGACTCAATATTGTCAAGATGTCAGTTCTGCCAAAGGCACTACATAAATTTAATGCAATCCCGATATAATTACCCTCATATTTCTTCAAAGAAATGGAAAAACTGATTACCAACTTCATATGGAGAGGGAATTAACAAAGAACTCCTCAAGAAGAAGGACACAGTGGGAGGACTTGCTTTGCCCAACTTTAGCACATACTATACAGCCACAGTTGTGAGAACCACATGGTATTGGTACAATGAAAGACACTCAGACCAATGGGAAAGAACTGAAAACCCAGAAATAAAATTGGCTGCATAAAGACAACTGATCTTTGAAAAGGGCCCCAAAATATCCAATGGGAAACAGATGCCCTCTTTAACAAGTGGTGCTGAAAAAAATGGATATCTACCTGCAGAAAAATGAAGCAACACCTTTATCTCACTTCATGCACAAGAATAAACTCAAAATGGATCATAGACCTTGAAGTTAGATCCCAAACTATTAGGGCCATCAATGAGGGAATTGGGAGCAACTTGTGAACTTTGGCATAGGGAATACATAGGCTATCAGAAATAGGGAAGGAAACAAACACAGAGGAGGCACAAATTGACAAGTGGGATATACTGAAGATAAAACACTGTGTATATTGAAAGAATTCACCGAGCATAATAAGAGAGTACACAGACTGGGAAAACATCTTTAGCAATGACACATCAGACAAAGGCCTTATTACTAAAATCGACAATACTCTGCTAGATTCCAACAGAAGTTTCACAGGGGTAGAAATCCGAATGGCCAACAAACATGAGAAAATGTTCCCGATCTTTAGCCATAAGAGAAATGCAAATTAAAACAACAATGAGGTACCACCTAACACCTTCAAAGATAGCCACATTCAAAAAATCAGAAAGCAACAAGAGATGGAGGGGCTGTGGGAAGACAGGAACTCTCATCCACGGCTGGTGGACCTGTAAGTATGTACAGCCACTATGGAAATGGATCTGGCGATATCAAAAACAGATGGAAACTGAGTTACCATATGAGCCAGCAGTCCCCCTACTGGGCATATACCCAGAAGAGGCAAGAAACAAGTCAAGGCCAGACATCTGTGCTCCAATGTTCATTGCGGCAAAGTTCACATTTGCAAGAAGTTGGAAACAACCCAAATTTCCATCAACTGACGAGTGGATTAAAAAGCTGTGGTATATACATACAATGGAGTACTATGCATCGCTAAAAAGCAGTGATGAATGTATGAAGCACATCGCTACATGGGAAGAACTGGAGGAAATCATGCTAAGCAAAGTAAGCCAAGCACAAAAGGACAAGTACAGCATGAGTCCGCTCAGGTAAGCTTTAAAAAAAAAAGGCAAAGGGGGCACATGGAGAGCTACTGCATACAAACATTCCTGGGGTGAGGACTAGGTAATATGGCAGGGAACAGACCAAATACAGGGGTACATATGGTAGACAACAAAAAAGGAGAAGGGGAAAGGAAAATATAATAATAAAAAGGAAATGGGTAGCAGGGGCACAGGGCACTAACCCACCTAAGGTGAGGGTATTGTTTGTTATGTCCACAGGGAAAGCGGGACCAGGCTTCAACCCAGTACTCCAAGATGGGAATGCAACATGCCGACGTGGAGTAGGAAACCAGTGGAGAGGTCTGAGGGGCTGGCCCAAATCCCAACTACTACACGTGGACACCTTCCTCTCCCCCCAGAAGAATTTA